TGTTTCTGAGATATATCTATATACATATATATTTTCCCATATTAGAAGAACTAATGACGTCTGCACTGTTTCACCTGTCCCCGTGATTCTCCTCCTCGCAAACGTTCTTTTTAAAATCATCTGTGATTTGAGACATTTCTGCAAAAAACCCCAAAACATACATGATGGGATGTAACGTTAATTTAGGGAAACTTTTCAAGAGGCTGGGTGTGCTTGGGTATAAAACGTAATATTCATCTCCTGTTTAAAGAGACGCAAAATCAGGTCGCCGCCTCCTTCTGCAGGTAGAAAATCCAGTGCCTTCGTATTCTTCTTCTTTGGTTATTTCGGATGGCTCTGCCTGATGCATGGATTATGATTCAGCTGCAATTGCAGTTACAAACGACAAATCCACCGAGTAACGAGAAAACAAGTACTAGAATTTTGTCAGGAGGCGGCACGAAGTTTGGAAGAGGCGGTCACATCCCAATTCTCTGCAGGAAAAACCCTGGTGTATGTATTTATATGTGTGTGTGTGTGTGTGTGTGTGTGTGTGTGTGTATATATATATATATATATATATATATATTCTGTGTAAAGTAATCAAAGTTACATTATCAACTATCAGCTAAAAATCTAAAGAATTATTTAAATGACCATTAGATGCAAATTTGTAAAACAACAAATCCACATTGTGTAGGTTTCTATGGTAACAAACAAAAACAGTGTAAATACAGTAGAGGAATATTGATATATGAAGGTGTTTTGATTTCTCTGTGGCAGGAATTTAAACTTCTGGATACTGTAAAAATCAAATGAAGCTTGAATCTTTAGAAGAGACATGAAAAATAAACAAATAAATAATCGAACCCACATGAAATCAAAGCCTGTCAAATTTAACGAGTTGTCAGATCTTAAAAAAACTATAAATCGTAAAATATCAAACAAATGACGACTTTCCCTCATAACTCCACCAATAACAATGATGAATTATAAATGTTGACGCAGGAGAGATGGAAAACAAACAGACGAACATCTGGATGAAATCATCACAAACAAACAGCTGCTCAGAAAAGTCAGACACGTTGTGATGTTGATTGTTAACAGGTTAATTAAAAGATGCAGCAGAGGAAGAGACAGAGATTCATTTCTCTCTGATTAACATAATGACCCAGTGATCTCGTTATCAGATGAGTCATGAGATCACTGTAGTTCATGAGAACAGGCTCCACACAGTCTGTAACGTTCCTACAGGAACCTGTTCTGACGCTCTTCCCCTTCCTCTTCCTCTTCCTCCTCCTCAGTTTGTTCTGCAGGAGGAGATTTCATCAGAGTGGAAACGTTTGTGAGGAGAAATGAAAAACACGGAGAAATCAATAAATCATCAGTTCTGAGAATGATGACGGCCTGAAGTCGTGTTTTCTCACACAGAGTCAAACGTTGTGAAACACGATAAAATGTGTGAACCTGAACACAACACTGAGCAGGTGAACTGCTGCTCACAGATAAAGGTTAGCTAATCAATGACGATGATGATGAAACGAGTGGAACCAGATGTTGGTTTTACTTTCATGGATTTTCTAGATCAGATGGAAACGTGAAGTCAGAGACGACAGGAGAGAAAACAGCTGACTGCTGACAGCAGCTGAAACACAGAGGCAAACACCTGTGACGGAGCGAGAGACACAGGAAGGAAGTCGGACGTCCTCAGCTCCACCTTGTCAGTCATAAAACCTCGTGGGGGAGGGGGAGGGGACATGGAGTCAAACAGCAGAAACATCCTCAGAGATCAAAGTGGCTGAAGATCTGTCATGTTCAGCAGAGGGAGGAGCCTCTTGTGTAAAAACAACCACACAGACATCCTGCTTCCTGCTGCCAGTCATGTGACCTGCTGCTTCAGTACAGGTCACATGACTAAACCAGACTACCTGCTGCTCCACTGGAGTTCATCTAAAATGTCTGTCTCTCTGTCTCTCTGTCTGTCTGTGTCTCTCTCTCTCTCTCTCTCTCTCTGTCTCTGTCTGTCTCTCTCTCCCTCTCTGTCTGTGTCTCTCTGTGTCTCTGTCTGTCTGTCTCTCTCTCTCTCTTTCTGCCTGTGTGTGTCTCTGTCTGTCTCTCTCTCTGTCTGTCTGTCTCTCTGTCTCTCTGTCTGTCTGTGTGTGTGGGACAGATGTTGAACAACATTAGAGGAACAAGACTCTTCCATGTCTTACATCTGATTTCTAGTTTCTATTTCTCAGTGAAATAATCAGTGTTGGTTTAAAGTGAGACTGGTGATGAAGCAGATTCATGTTTCATGTTCATGTGTGAGAGCTGGAGCTGTGAGACGATCAGAGCAGTGAAAGGTTTTAATTGTCTGAACGTCACCTGAGGAAGATCAGTGACTTTTAAACCACTCACCTGCGTCTGTCCTCCCTGCAGGTCTGCCTGTCGCCGCCTCGGCTCAGACGTCTTCCAGCAGCTGTATGAGAACCTGAAGGAGGCCAGGCGGCGGCGGGAGGTTGAGGATGAGGACAGCGTCACCGAGGACGCTCCAGAGGATGAACCTGATGTGGGCTTCCAGGTGGACCAGCTGCTGTTCCTCGAGGGAGAGCTGCAGAGAGTGAGACGGCTGCAGGAGTACACACCCCCAGTCTGAAAAACTTTATTTAAACAACTCATCATCACAAAGAACATTTCTTACTTTACAGGTAAACTGATCAGAGCTTTCTGTATGTGCTAGAAGAATTACATTAAACATTTACAAGGGAAGTGAATGAATTTTTCCCCTGAAGTCGAAGCTGAAATAAAGAGATTTGGAGTGACGGTGTTTCCTGCTGCTGCTGAAAGACTCCACCTGTCTGATCCGAGTCCTGACAATACGAGGAAGCTTCCTGCTGAGATCAGACACACTCACAGAACCAGGGTGTGTGTGTGTGTGTGTGTGTGTGTGTGTGTGTGTGTGTGTGAGCGTGAGCGTGTGCGTGTGCGTGTGCGTGTGTGTGTGAGCGTGAGCGTGTGTGTGTGAGCGCGCACCTACGCCGCCTCTTTGTATCAGGATCTTTGTCTCCTGACATTCACATGAACATCATCAAGAACTCCAAGCAGCTGAATCTGTTGCAGCTGGAGTCAGAACATCTGGATGTGATCTCAGTCCACAGCTGTCACTTTAACGTGTTCAGGTGTATGAGATGAGGGACGATAGATTGAAACGCGATGTTATTTTGATAAACGGGACTTCACTGCCTCTGATCGCATCACAACTGACTCAGGTGTCAGTCATGCAGATGTAAATCAAAGCAGCTGTTTACAGTAACATTTCACTCTGTGTGAAGCTGTAAATATAATTTGATGCTTCAGTTTTCTTCAGTTTTACCTGCAGATGAAAAACACCATGTCGTCTCTGACCTCTCCCTCCTCTTTATAACTCGTTATTTCCTTATTTAGATGTGACACTAAACACTAATAAAACATCTGTAAACTCAGTGTTTCCGTCACTGTTAGCATCTTTTCAGATGAACAGATATTGTAGTTAGCATCAGAACAATTAGCTAGTTAGATTGTTTTCGTAAGGGTTAGCTAATCAATATCTTTTCACAATGGTTCGCTAGTTAGCATCTTTTCAGAACTGTTAGCTAGTTAGCATCTTTTCAGAACGTATAGCCAGTTAGCATCAGAGCAGTTAGTGAAGTTAGCATTTTTTCAGAACTTAAGCCAGTTAGCATCTCTTCATAACGGTTAACTAGTCAGCATCTTTTCTGAACTGTTTGCTAGTTAGCATCTTTTCAGAACGGTTAGCTAGTTAGCATTTTATCAGGACAGTAAGTTAGTAAGCATCATTTCAGAAATGTTAGCTAGTTAGCATCTTTTCAGAACTTGTAGCACAGTTAGCATCTTTTCCGAACAGTCTGTGTAGTTAGCATTGTTTCAGAACAGTTAGCATAGTTAGCGTTTTTTATTTGTTGATGTTGTTTGTTTGCTTGTAACTGGCAGTGGCTGACACAGTGTTAGCAGTTGTGCTAATGCTAACTCTCTCTCTCTCTACTGACAAGGTTTCAGGTGTATTTAGCCCCGCCCCCACAAGCTTACAGGATTGGTTCCTGAGTTTTGTGACATATGAAACCCTGAATCTGTGTTTATGAGACTGTCATCGGTTCACTGCAGTTCAAGGTGGAAACACTCAGTCATGGAGTTGATGATTATTCCATCATCATGTGTCTGTATTTTATAAAAACATCACATGGATGCTAACATGTTGATTTTCATCAGAGGATCTTTAACTTGTTAAATTAGCCTTGTTTGGCTCGACAGCATCTTTCTGCTCAGGCTGAAGTTCAGCTGCTCTCATGATGTTAAAACACTTTGTTTTTTGTGTGTGACATCTTCACATGAGTCAATCCTCCAGATAAATCCTGACCCCGATTATTTCTTCTGCCCCAGAAGAGTTTGGTTTCACCTTTTACTTGGTGAGGTCAGAATTTAAACTACGTGAAAAGAGGATCCATCCCGTCAACGCTTCAGGCTGTTGCTGGTGTAATGGGGTGGGGGATATTTTCTCAGGACACTTTGGCCCCTCAGCACCAACTGAGCATCGTTTAAACGCCACAGCCTACCTGAGTGTTGTTGCTGACCATGTCCGTCCCTTTATGACCACAGCATACCCGACTTCTGATGGCGTCTTCCAGCAGGATGACAAGCACGTCACAAAGCTCACATCATCTCACTCCAATAGAGCAGCTTTGAGATGTGGTGGACGAGCAGCCAACAAATCTGCAGCAGCTGCCCGATGCTGTCACGTCAATCTGGACCAGAACCTCTGAGGAATGAGTCCAGAACCTGTTGAATCTGTGTCACGAAGGATTAAGACAGTTGTGAAAGAAAAGGGTCAAGCCAGTAGAAGGTGTCCCAGTGTATAAAACTATAGTTCAGAATTACAGTAGAAAGTTTGTTTCAGAAACAGCTTCATCATCTGAACTTTAGAAGAACGTAGACTAACAGTGAGCGGGTTTTACATTTTTATTCATCTTGAACATTTAAAACAGTTGATACATTTAAACTTGATTTGGTTGGTTAAATGAACATATACATCATTCAGGAACAGCCCCTCAACATGTCTGTGCACGTCTCTGACTACATGCATGTTAAAGTTACATAATGAACTGATCTCACTTGTAGGAGAGGGGAACTCAAAATGGTGGGTGGTCTGTTCAGGCTGACATGAGAGAAAAACTATTTACTTCTGTATATTGATTCATCTCATTCTATGTGGCTCTCAACCATCTGTAGAAGTTACTGATGGTGTTAAAAAACCAACGGCACCGTTCGCAAATCATCCAAACTCTGATCATTAGATTCAATAACCAAGATCTTTTCTCATAAATCAATCGTCCTCCCTCAGAGACTGAATCTATTTTGTCAAACAGCTCTTTGACCTGATCCCTGTCCTCCATGTTTTTGTTGTTGAACACTTGGTACTGGCCGCTGCAGTTCTTCAGCAGCTCTTGCAGGTTCTTGTCTTCTCTGATGAACTGAACAATGTCCATGTCTTCCAGTCGGTCTCCGTAGGTGAACAGCACCACGGTGTGTTCAGAGACATTAGGACTCAGCATCTTCTCCAGAGTCTTCAGACCTTTCTGTTCCTGTTCAGTGAATCTTCCGAGCTGGATGGTGAGGAGGAAGACGTGAGGACCTGGAGAGCTCAGCTTTAGTGCTTCTTCCAGCTGTGCCTTCACCTGCTCCTCAGACAGCTGAGAGCTGAAGAGTCCGGGGGTGTCGACCACAGAGACTCTGCGACCCTGAACATCACCTTCTCTCTTCTCACAGCTCAGCGTCAGAGGTGAGGAACTGAACTTACAGTCGAACTCCTTCTTTCCCAGGATGGTGTTTCCTGCTGAGCTCTTCCCCACTCTCTCCTGCCCCACCAGCACCACCCTCAGGTCAGAGCTACACCCTGAAAACAACACAGGTGATTAGACGTGACAGTGTGAGATACCACCTGACCACCAGGAGTCAGAGCACTGTACTTTCAACACATCAACAGTCATTCATCCATAATGTTCCAGCCTGTTACTTAAATAACTGTGGTGATCAATAATGACCCAGAGTCAGATTTTCATCTGAAACATTTATGTTTATTAAAGTGTTAGAAGACAGATGAATCACATGGGGATATATGAACCAGCACCTCACTTCATTCTTCACATCACCTGATCTAACCTATAATAACCTAACTTTATTAAAACATTTGTTTCCTCTTTTTGATTAATGCATAATTCAATAAAACAAGTGCAGAGTGTCTGGAGTCTGTTACAGCTTCTATTACACAGTATGACATGTAGATTGTTTTACATCAAAGAGTTAGAAAGTGTCCCATTAATGACATGATGAATAATCAATAATGATTAATGAAGATACTCATGATCTATAAAAGGCAGAAAAAATAAACGTGATCAAATAAAAGATTAAACTGTTACCATGACGATTCCCTGTTATGAGCTGCAGCTAATAGATCATTAATATTGAATATCACTGTATGATGCAGGCCTTCTCCACTGCCACAGCTACAGCTCCTGCTACAGCTCCCACTGCAGCTCCAACATCAGCTCCAACATCAGCTCCAACATCAGCTCCAACAGCAGCTCCAGCAGCAGCTCCAGTACCAGCGCCCATTAGAACCGCCTTAAGAAACGAATTGTCTTCCTCTGCCTGTCTTCTTGTTTTTGCGCAAGCAATATCTGGATTTTCTCTCTTCAGATGTTCCATTTCTTCTCTTATGGCTCTCTCAGCTGCTTGGAACATTTCATTGGTGTAGCAGCTTCCTCCATTTATCTGAACAATAATGTTGATCTTTGTCACCAGCTCAGTAACTTGATGGAGATCCTTGTCTCTGTTGTCAAACACATGGTAACCTCCATCACACTGACTGATGAAGTCACGGAGAGGCTGATTCTGACTAATGAATGTCTCTATGGAGACTCCCGCCTCCTTCAGGTCGTCTCCATGGGTGAACAAGGCCATAGTGTAGTTTCTTGACTTTTCTCCAAACATCTCCTGAAGGATTTTCACTGTTTCTTGTTCTTCTTTTGTGAATCTGTTCAGCTGGATCACGATCAGGAACACATGANTGCTACAGCTCCCACTGCAGCTCCCACTGCAGCTCCAACATCAGCTCCAACAGCAGCTCCAGCAGCAGCTCCAGTACCAGCGCCCATTAGAACCGCCTTAAGAAACGAATTGTCTTCCTCTGCCTGTCTTCTTGTTTTTGCGCAAGCAATATCTGGATTTTCTCTCTTCAGATGTTCCATTTCTTCTCTTATGGCTCTCTCAGCTGCTTGGAACATTTCATTGGTGTAGCAGCTTCCTCCATTTATCTGAACAATAATGTTGATCTTTGTCACCAGCTCAGTAACTTGATGGAGATCCTTGTCTCTGTTGTTGAACACATGGTAACCTCCATCACACTGTCTGATGATCTCACGGAGAGGCTGATTCTGACTAATGAATGTCTCTATGGAGACTCCCGCCTCCTTCAGGTCGTCTCCATGGGTGAACAAGGCCATAGTGTAGTTTCTTAACTTTTCTCCAAACATCTCCTGAAGGATTTTCACTGTTTCTTGTTCTTCTTTTGTGAATCTGTTCAGCTGGATCACGATCAGGATCACATGAGGACCAGGAGCAGCAAGTGAGATGGCTTTAGCGATCTCTCTGCTCACCTCCTTGTTAGATTTCCTTGTGTCAAACAGACCTGGAGTATCAACAACAGCCAGT